GGGGCAGTTGGGAGCAGGGACAGCAGGAGCAGCAGCAGCAGCGTCAGCACCAGGAGCAGCAGCATGAGCAGCACCAGCACCAGGGGCGCGAGCAGGGGCAGCACGAGCAGCACTACCAGCAGGAGCAGCAGCAGCAGCAGCAGCAGCAGCACTACCAGCAGGAGCAGCAACAACAGCAGGAGCAGCAGCAGCAGCAGCAGCAGCAGCAGCAGCAGCAGCAGCAGCACCACTACCACCAGCAGCAGCAGCAGCAGCAGCAGCAGCACCAGCAGCAGCAGGACAGGGACGCACGCCAGCAGCAGCGGCGGCCTGAACAGCAGGATCTGGGTGACCAGCAGCAGCAGCAGCCGCCCTTCCACTCTTGGTTTGTTTGGTGCGACATCTGGCCCCACATCCACGGGTCAGACCACGCGCCCGTCCTGGCTGACCTGCGGGTGCCGCCCGGCCTCCTGAGGGCCGCCTGCGACCCCCCGCGCGTGCCGTGCTGCAGCCATTGGAATTTCAAGAGCCAATCGTCCCTCAAAGGCTGGCTGGTCAGGGGCGGCGGGGCGGGTGGCGACGGCAGCCAGGCATCAAGCTCCAGCCAGCTGAGCGCTCAGAGCGCACCGGCAGCAGCGGAGACAGGCGGCGGCGCCGGCGGCCCGCGGCGGAGCGCGGGCGGCGGCGCCGCAGCGGGCCGGCTGGCCGGGGCCGCCGGCGGCAAGCGCCAGCGCGCCGGGAGCGGGGGCATGGGTGGGATTGTGGCGAAAGGGCAGTCGAGCCTGTTGTCCTTTTTCGCTGCAGCGCCAAAGCAGGAGCCCACTGCACCTGTTGGAGGCAACGAGAACAGGCCACCGGCAGGGATTGGTGGCAGCAGCCCGCAGCATGGGCTGGAGCAGGCACAGCAGGATAGGGAGCAGCAGCAGCTGCCAGGCCAGCAGGGGGAGCAGGCTCGGGAGCAGGAGCAGGAGCAGCAGCAGCAGCAGCAACAGCGGCAGGAGCCAGTAGAGAAGATTGAGCAGCAGCAGCAGCAGCAGCAGCAGCAGCAGCAGCAGCCACGGCAGCTCCCGCCGCCCTCAGAGCAGGTGCAGCAAGCGGCCCAGCAGCAGCGCCAGCAGGCCGCCGCGGCGTGGGGCAGGATCATGGAGGTCGTCAGCAGCCGCCCGCGCTGCAGGTGCGGCGAGGAGACGGTGGTACGGACCGTCGTGAAGAAGGACCTCGCCTCAAGGGGTGAGATTCGGCTCCATGATGCAGGGTGGGGTTTAGGGTTGATGACGCCGGGGCCAAGTATGCCAGAGCGGGTGGGAAACAAGGGAAAGAAGGCGGTTGCGGCATTACACAAGCTGACCTTGTCGGGACGGCTCGGCGGCCGCGATTGTGTTGCTGCATGCCTTCACACTTGAGTAGCGCGTCGTTTCCTGGGGCGCCTGGTCGCCGCCCTCCTCCCTCAGTTTCTCACGCGGCGAGCCACCCTGTGGTTATGCAGCCAGCCGCTCTATTACTCATGCCGCCAGCAACCCCGTACGGCCGCTGCCGCAGGCAAGTCCTTCTACACCTGCAAGCGCCCCGACGGCCCCCCGGGCGTCGGGCGCTGCAACTACTTCCTTTGGGCGGACGAGTGGGACCCCAAAACAGGGACGGCCAGGAGGGGCGCGGCGAGCTGGCGGCAGGGGGCGGGCGGCCGCGGCGGCGGCGGCGGCGGCGGCGGCGGCGCGGGGCCGCCTGGTCCAAGTGGCCGTGGCGGCGGCGGCAGCTCTCACCCTGCCAAAAAGTTCAAGGCCGGCTGACCAATCCTCTGTTGCAATTCTGTTTGTAATCAACGTGCCAAAGCACCTGTCCATTCAGATTGTTACTGCGTGGTCAATCAGATACCTGCAGTGCAAACTTTCGGGTGCCATCCACCTGAGAAGTTGCGCTGTGTTGCCCATGGCCTGCATCTGCTGATAAAAAAATACAATGCCACGACATGGAGGTTGATGCCGACACACATGGGGTTGGTCAGCACGGGTTGTCCTGCACAGCAGGACGTTTGCAGTGCTGTAGTGTCTCCATGCAGTGCGTGCCGGCGTGGCACGTGCAGCTGGGTTGCCAGCTTCAGCGCGCAGGGGCGCGGCGCCCCGCCGCGGTGTGTTTCGCTGGAACCCTGCTCGCCGCCTCAGCGCCATGCTGCGCGCCGACCGCGGCCGCACGCCGCTCCTGTCGTGTCGCCGCCGCGGCAGCGCCGCCTGAGACGCTGCACACAGCCCTGCGCACAACAGCGGCTGCCGCGGCCGCCGCCGCGGCCACCACCGCCGCGATGGCCGGTGTCTGGCCCGGCCGAGGGGAGGTGCGGGCGGCGGCGGGCGCGGGCTCGGGGGCGAGCGGGCCGTGGCGCAGCCGCAGCAGTGGAGCGTGGGGGGGCTCCTGCTGCCGCGAGCGGGCCCCCCCAAGCGCCGCTGCCGCGGCCGCCGCGACTTCGGCTGCCGAGAGGGGCGTCTCTCGCACGCGCGGGTGGCGTGCTCCGCGAATGTGCTGGTCTGCGCGCACGCGGCACGCGTCCCGACCGGCCGCCCGCCTCCGCGGCCGCGGCGCCGGCGAGGCGCGCCGCTTCCGCGGGGGGCGTCGTCGCGCGCCGGCACCCCGCTCGTCGCCCTCGGGCTCGCTGCCGCTGTCCCTGCTGCTGCCGGTGCTTATGCTGCTTCCGCCAGGACCCTCCATCCAGGCGCCTTCCTCCTCCGCATCTTCGTCAGCCTCCTCCTCTGCTGAAAACGGCGAGCAGCCCAGCACCTGTGTGTCGCTTGCCGCATCGGAGCCGCCGCTGGAAGCCGCATAGTCGCTGTCCTCGTCAGCTTCTGACTCATCGGACAAAGCATCCTGGTCCTCCCACTCCTCAATCCTCTGCTCTGCCATCTCCTGGCAATGCTGCCGCCGCCGCCGCCGCTGCAACACGTTGCTGCGCTGCGGCCGGCCGTCATCTTTCGCAACCCGCTCCAAACCTGCGCCACCCGCGGCCAGCCCCTGCGGCGCCCCCTTGGGGCGCAGCTGCGCCGCGCCGCCAGCGCAGGCGGCCTGCCTGGCGCCTGCTGGTGCCAGACCGCCGCCGCGGCCATCTTGACACGACTTCGGCTGGAGGGCACGCAGGGGCTGGCGCTTGGGGTGTGGTTGCGCGCCCCTAAGCTGCTGCTTGCTGTCATACCCCTGCCGCTTGGCCGCCCGCTGCTGCTGCTGCTCCTGATCCCGCTGCTCCTCCGACTCTGATGCGGGGCGCCGCCAGTGGGGCGCCGCGACGCGCTGCTGCCCGCGGGCGCGCCCGTGCAGGGGGCCGCGCCCTGCCCAGGCCGGCGCGGCCGCGCCGCCGCCGCCTGCAGACCCGGCGGCCACCTCTGGCGCTGTGCGGCGGCGCTTTGCTGCTGGCACGGCCGGGTCCCTCCAAACCGCCTGGTCCCGAGGCCTCATGCCGTCTCCCTTTTGGGCCGGCGGCGCCGCCACAACCTTCCTGAGTCCCCGCACGCCGGCACGGGCGGCCGCCTCGGCCCCTGCCTCAGAAGCGACCGCAGCCCGCTTTGCCAACCGGGGTCCCTGCGGCGTGCGGGCCCCTCCGTCCCCCTCCATCAGGACGGCCCGCCGCCCGCTGCGCCCGCTGCGCCCGCTGCGTCCGTGCCTCGCGCCGGCCGCACGGGCCACGCCGGCCGCGCCGATTGCTGCGCCGGCCCCAGGGTCCGCCGTCACCGGGGAGCACCAGCC